AACCGGGTGTATTTCTATCTTTATGCACAAATAATTGGAGCTTTTTATCAACTGTAATGATTCGGTATTTGTATTTGTTTTTAGGCAGAGCATTTATGAATTACGCAGTCCATATGAATTGGCTAGTGCGGTATATTCTTCACAAAGAAAGTGGACAAAAAAATGGAGTCTGAAATCCTAGAATTCGAGAATTCCACATTACTAGTCTTTGACTCGTGCGTTACACTGGATAATAGACTAATTATAGAGTGATTTGATGTTACTAAATATAAGTTCATTCTTACAAATCAAACCTTTTTTCATATTTAATCATAGTAATTCTAAATTACTTAGGCGTAGAAGAGTACCGTCAAAAGATGTTGTCAATACAGCTAAAATTACACATGTAACCCAAGTTAATTCACGAGGGTACCACCAACAATAAAACACACTTTGGAGAGTTACATGACTTAGGGGTGTTTGGATCTGATTCTCAAAACTGATTTTGCTCCTTCAGAGAGCAGAAGCAGAAGCTGGAGTGTTTGGGTGAAATTCCAGAAGCACTTCTGGTGCTCTAATTTACTCCCAGAATCAGTTTTTTTAGAAGATGAGGGGTACCAGCTTCTGAGAACTGATTATGATTCTGCTTCTGCTTTAAAAAAGAAGCAGAAGCAGAATCAGTTCCAAACACCCCCTTATTAATATGGGATACATGAAATTTTAACATTTCATTTTTATTGCATGAATTTTAATAGTTACTCTCTCGGTCCCGCTAATATTGTCTCATTTTGACTTTTTGGGAAATCGCACTAAAATTGTCTCATACCAATTTTGGTGATGTTTATGTGACTCTAAATCATTCTTACTTTATCAATTAATATCAATCACATAAACTCATTTTTCTTAATAATCGTGTCACTCCTTTCTGCCCCAATATTAGCGGGGCTGAGGTAGTACTTGACTAAGAAAGATTGTGCTTAATGAGTTCTTTAAAACATATCTACACGAACAAAGATATCAAACAATTAGCATGTAATATCAAATTTTCAAAATTAGTTAGGCACTAAACATAGGTTAAAAATGCAGTTTATAGCTGGAACTAAATTTAATTTTTTCAAGAAATGTAAATGCCCATCATCATGATTATAGACAGTTAGATTTTCTTAAAAATAAAACTGCTTGAACATGACCCGTGTAAAGTAAAGTTCTATTCTCTTTCATTTATGTGTTAAGAAATCTTTGCCAGAGAAACAAAAAATGAAATCTAAAGCTGCATTTAAATGACATGACTGGGAATAATCTGTATTGCTAAAGCTGCTAAAATAAATCAATTTTCAAGATAACCTAAAACCGAACTAATATCTCAGTATCAGGAGTCTACAACTATGCATGGCAAATTAGCAACTTTCATTATTAGGAACCTATGATAAAATCATTTTTTAGGATAACCTAAAGTTTTGTAAGATAACCTAAACTGGGTGTTTTATCTCTTATTGTTATCACTATGTTGTTTGGTAAATAGACCAAGAAAACAACGAACACCAATGTGTTCTTTAAGAAAGAAAACTGGAATTTATCATAAATTGGAGTTAATCCTGAGAATGTTTTTTTTATTATCAAAAGCTGTTGTAACATAATGTTTATACACCTTATATATGGCTCACGATTTAACTTAAGAACTTTAAATAATTTACTTGTAGTCCAATAAATAAATTAGTAAGTCTTATACTCCTTCCGTCCCTAAATAAACTTCCAACTTTCCTTTTTCGTCCGTCCCAATTAAAACTTCCACTTTCCCTTTTTGGTCAGAATTTGTGGTTCACAACAATTCTTACACATTTCTCTCTCCTTTGCACAACTTTCCACCACACAATACCCACTATCTTAAACTGTGTGCCAAACCTATTTGAAAGTTTTATTAGGGACGGAGGGAGTACATGAAAACTGCCAGTATGTCCCGTAAGTTCTGGGATCCACGTTTCCACAACGTGGGACTCTGTAATGAGACCAAAGCGATATGAGTTGATAGAACACATAAGCTTTAATTTAAGATCTTGTGGGCCACTGATATAACAAATAGAAACATTTACTTGCATTTGATTCTAGTGGGAGGCAGTAAACTAAGATAGCAATATTATGTATCGTAACTATGAAATGCTTCCAACTATGATAATTAAGCCTTTGTGGTAAACACAACTAACGTGAATTCCTTGGTATGTATATCCCATACATTGCTTTTGATTCAAAAATAGAGTTTTTAATTTATGAAACCTGAAAGGGAAAACATTTTGCTTGCAGATATGTCTAAAAATATTAGCCCTTCTCCATTCATTAAGTAGTAGGTAACTCAAATGCTTCCAGTTATTAGAAGAAAATGGACAATGAAGTAAAACATGATCAGGTGAGGGAACCGAAACATAAAATCTCATTTAAGTTAAAGGGAAAAGGAAAGCACTCAAATCAAAATTTCCAGAAAAAAGCACTGAATTGTTGAGATTTTCTAGGATGCTAAACGTATTATCTTTGAGAGAGAACTCATTGTATCTAAACGAATTCAAACGCATATTACGATCTTACAAATTCACAATCGAGTTGGTGCAATTGAACCTTTTTGGTGATTTATTCTCTCTTCAAACTTCTTAAGTTTAAGTTCAACCAATCGTAGGGTCTGTTTGCAAACGCTTAAAAGCGTTTTTTCGGCTTTTGGTTTAAAAAGCTAAAATTAGTGTTTTTATGTGGCAACTTCTACTTAAATTAAATACTTAGAAGCTAAAAGCTGATAAGTGCTTTTACTTTTACTATTACACAAAAAACACATATTTTACCAAACACTAACAACTTTTACTTTTCAAAATCAATTTTTCTTAAACATTACCAACTTTTAGTATGAAGCATTTTTTCCAAAATCACTTTAAAAACATTTTTTCCAAAATCACTTTAAAAAACACTTTTTTAAAGCATAAGTAATTGCAAACACTCATTTAGTTATCAAACACAAATCAACTATTGTTGAAACAATTATATATATGAGCATCTATTACCAAAAACCATTGCAAGTTGGTGAGAAAAAAGACACTTCACCTCGATTTCAAGAAAATATAGAGAGCAACAATCTAACCCTTATAATCTACTCCAAAAGCAACACAAAAAACAGCACGATCGCATAGGTTTTTTAAAGGGACCATATATAGCTGGTTTTACTAAAGCTCACGGAAGTATTTGCATCCATCAGAGATATGATGGATTCCGATATAATATAAGATAGAATTTAAATCTAGGGTTTTAGAAGAAACTTCAAATGAAATTTTCAGATGATAGATAAAGAATGTCACAAAAAAATATAAAGAGAAAACTCTCAAATAAGCCCCCGCACTATGGCGAAATCCTCAATTAAGCCCTCGTACTTCCGAATCACCCAATTGAACCCTCGTACTCAGCAAAAACACCCAATCAGCTTTTTTAGCCGGTGGCCACCCGGTTTGCCTGTTAATGGCTGACATGTCCTCCAGCGTGTCCCTCCCCTTACCCGACACAGTGATGCTTACGTGGATATTCCCATCCCCAAATAATAACCAAACACTCCTGAAGACCTAATTTAATCCCTAGCAAACAAATCTTTCTCCTTCTTCATTCTCCATCGCTGCGAGTGTTAGCCATCGCGAGAATGTCGTCTTCATCATCATCAGCGTTAGTCAAAGAGCGGAGTCGTACCTTTGACTACGAGCCTGCGGTGCACTGTTGGTGTGGATTGAAAGCACCACTATGTGTTGGGCGAGAGAGTGAGAGAAGCTTTTTTGGGTGTCAAAAATGGAAGGTTAGTGTGTGATGTGGCAATGTGGTTTTGAATTATAGTGGCTGGCCTTAATTGTTTCCATATGTACTTCGTGATTGTTAACAATAGCATGATCATGTGTATGTGAACAGGTTGGTAGTTGCGGTTTTTTCTTATGGAAGGAAGACGTAGAAATGAAAGACATTGGTAAGGTTGAAGAGAAGAAACCAGTGGTCATGGCTGAAGCTAAGAGCGAAAGTTCAGATGATTTGAAAAAGTTGCTTGAGGGAATTGGGGAACAGATTTCTCATTTGCACACTGCTGTTGATTGTGTGCAGACTGCGGTTGACAATGAGGCTTTGGTGAACAAAAAGAGTAGAAAGCTGTATGGATTTGCTATGATTGTACTTCTAGGTTTAGTTTTTAGTTTGTATTTGAGGAAGTAATGGCCATGGAGTGTTAGTCAACTGTGATGGTTTGCTGAACTGTGATTGTACTGCTAGGATTGTCTAATGTCAAGGTCATGTGTAATGTCTGTTAGTTTCTTTCTTATGTAATGCCTTAGTATGCTACTGCTTTAATAATGGCAGAATGTTGCTTCATGTTATTGATTTCCAATGTCATAATATTGTTGAATGAAACTTATTTATGATTAATTTCTTCACACATTTTACATTGTATACTATATGATCATGAATTGCACAATAACTTTGCTGAAGTACTGAGGTAATTATAGTGCCCGAATTGAGTTTCTTATGCACACGCATTTGAGTACTCATATTCTTGTACAGATTAGATGAATTAGTATGCACAAGTTGTTGTACTCTTTTCTTCCAATGTGCACAAGCATTTGAGTACTGAGCTTGTTTTATTTTGGTCAATAACCTGGGCTGCACTACACAAGTACTCTTTTGATAGTTTGGAATGACATCTGATTTTCAAAAAATATCCATTTCGGTAAGTTTATGACTATCAATAACTCTGTGCCCCTTATCTCATTACCCTAGGACCTAAACAACTAGTACTTCATCTCCATGTTGGTCATTATACATTAACCAAATGTAAGAGCATAACACAGTAGTTCATACACCAAAACTTAGTTTTTCAAACACCATATAAACCATATATAACACTCACCATATATAACACTCAACAAACTCAATACTTCATAAGCACCTGAATCAGTAGTTCATACACCCAGAAAAACAGTACTTCATAAGCATGTTGGTGAATATAAACTAAGTACTTCGTACATCATAAATACCATTGAAGGCACCAAAAGACTGCAGATAGCCCAAGTTTTTGCAGTAATAAACACCATTACATGATAAGATAAGTTTTTAACTAACTACACTACTACTAAATGATGACCAACATTACATCATAGGAAATGTTTATCCAAAAACGACTGTTAATAGCTGAATCTTCCAAGACCCTATTCCAAGTCATGCAGCTTCCTCTCCTCCACCTCCACTAAGCAATGTTTCTCCTCTTTGTCCAGGCTGCAATCACGCATTAAAAAAACTTCTTCAGTCTATATTACAAGAACATCAAATGCTGCATATAAAAAATACAAAATTAAGTTACTCACTTCCAATATAGCCATCCCTGTACTTTCATAAAAAAAAACCCCAAAGCCCCTTTCTCCTTTACCCCTATTACCTCCTCCCCTCTTCCCTCTCCCCCTCTGCCCTTTGCCCTTTTCAACTCCCACCCTCTGAGCACTTCCACTTTGTACACTGCCCTCCTGAACTGTCCCAGTTTCAAGACTACCCCTCTCCTGTGTGTGAGTCTCTCCTCTCTTCCTTTTTAAACCCCCTCTTCCACCCCTCTTAGGTCTACCCCTTTGACCTATTCCACTTTCACTCGGCATTGTATGGCCTTCATTTGGTTCTGTGCCACTATCAGAAGATATTTTACAAGATTTCCTATTGTGACCTTCCCCTTGACAGTTTGAACACTTCATGATTCTTCCTTTCCTTGTGAGTTGAGTCATTGATGGTGGATGGCCTTCAGTTTCTTCTCTCACTCTTTTCTTCTTGGGACGGCCAGTCATTTTCTTGGGAATGGGAGGATGCATTTCTTCATGTTGGGTTCTAGGCCACAGTAACTCCCCATTAATTGGTGGCAGCGTGTAGGAATATGTCTTTTCATAGAGATCCTTACTGTAGCATGAGTGTACATAGCTTTCAGGTTCATCCCCTTTATCCAGGATTGCACATATGGCATGTGCATAGGGAATACCACAAAGATCCCATCTTCTGCATGCACAAGATCTTGTGTTCAGGCTGACCTTGTATTGGAACCTCCCCTTTTTAATCTCATAGCCATCATCACCATTGTAATCAACATGCCATCCCTGACCAGCTATAATATTTTTGTTCAGTTTCTTCATAATGAGTGGACCAAATGCACCTAAATAAGAAACAAGAAGAAGTTAGTGTTAAAGTCATACTGGTCTGGCAAACATACTTAACTTCATTTTTTCTCAAATATAACACATGAATAACAGTTATTTATATTACGTGTGATAAACAAAAACAAAGTAATATAAAGTTGATGTAGCAGTTCCAATGAAGATAAAATGCACATAAAATGATGGTCAGAAGAGTGGTATAAAGCCTTTTCTCCATCCTTACCAGGCCACCTCCTCACATACTTCCTTTTCTTAGCTATTCTTTTCATCATTGCCACTCTAATTCCCTCAAGCATTGGTATAAGTGGTTTGACTCTAAGATGAACCAGAGTACTATTGAATGCTTCAGATAAGTTGTTATCTACTGCATCACATTTGACCTCAGTCCTAAAATAAGCCTTGCACCAAAGCTTGAATGGATGCCTGCGTAAATCAGCACCAGCTTGTGTGTCAAGCTTATCTAACTCATCCAAAGCTGACTGCAATTGTCCTTCTGAAGTGGACTTGGCACACTGCCAGAACAACTTCTTAAGCACCATTCCACTATGCTTTTTTGCCCAATTGGCATGTATATGCCTCGCACAGTTCCTGTGCTCAGCCTCAGGTAGAACTCTACTAATGACATTGCACAGACCCTAAATGAATCAACAAATTAAAATCAGAAAAAATGCAATGCAAATTATGATAGCATATAGTATTTTGAATGTCAAAACACTTACTTTCTGTTGGTCACTAATAATTGTCCATTCAGCAGGGTAAGTTATCTCTAGATCATCCCTCAAAAGCTCTAAAAACCAAGTCCATGAAGATGTATTTTCTATCTCTACTACTGCCCAAGCAATTGGATACATCTGATTATTGCCATCTCTTCCTACAGCACTTAAAATTTCTCCCTTCAAATGCCCTTTAAGGAAGCAACCATCTAAACCAATCACCTTCCTACACCCTTCCAAGAATGCCCTTTTCACAGGTCCCAAACACATGTACATCCTTTGGAACACCATAGGAGCATCAGGTACCACTCTATCAGTCTTAATTTTGACAGTACTACCAGGAATTGCCTTTAGAATTTCTTCAGCGTAGTTTCTAACTTTCTTGAATTGGTCCTTAAAAGCTGTCTGGGTTTTATCTTGCATTATTTTCAGAGCTCTGGTTGCCATACTTATTGAAACATTCAACTTTTTATCATCCTTCAGCATTTTTTTTAGCTCAGCAGCACCCATGGAGGGATTTTCAGTCAACTTCTCCTCATAGGTCTCAGCAATCCAATTCTGACTTACTATTCTAAGCTTGAACTTCAAGTTACACAGATGCTCAGAATTCCAAACTTTAAGTTGAAAGCACTTGTAGTGATCTTCCCAACTACCAGTAGAGGCAAAAGGGCAATTGGGGGCACATTTCAGTCTGACTCTTAGGGGTTCATTCTTGACAAACACTATATCTCTTTTGTGATATACAACATATCTTATCATAGCACTTTTAAACTGCTTACCATCCTCAAACAACATGCCCACCTTGAAGTGGGGAGGATCAGATTCTGGGTTATAGGATCCATTCCCATGACCTGGCCTCTTTGACTCAGCTTCATCTTCTCCCTCAGAATGCAAGCTAGGAGGGTTAGATGAGTCATATTCAGCAGTATCATCTTCACTCTCATTCTCAACCCCATGCTCAGGACTTGGTATATTACCCATTTCAGGAACATCATGTCTGATTGGTATGCTAGTATTGGTCAGAACTTCAACATCTTGTAGCACCTCTTCTTCATCATCCTCAGAGTCTTCCTCAGAACCACAACTATGATGTTCTTCGTCAACATCAGTTTCATCACCTGGAGCATCACTACCAACATCTGTGTCATGATTCAGGTAACCCTCTTCAACAGTTGCATCATGAAATTCACTTTCAGCTTCGACAACATCTGTTTGGATGTGTAGGTCATCTTCTGCATGGTCTACAAATATCTCACACTGTCCACAGGTTGTAGCTAATTCTATTAGCTTCAGTGCAGTCTGATCATCAGATAACTCATGCAAGGACTCCATATTGCCATTTGGCTTCTTGAAGAAAATACCTCTGATGGACCCATTGCTTTGACCTTCTAAAAATTTCTTCAAGTGGGGATAGCTTATAACATCTGGATCTGCACGTACCATCTCAACTACCCCTCCTACATACATCTTCTTTGAATCACAGTTGAATCTGCCACCATGGTGTATAACTAGTTCTACTGTCTCAAACATTCTGCATATGATGACAGTGTAGAACATTAGTCAATAAGATTAATGTCTGACTATAATGACCCCTAATTAACTTCAAACTTAAGATGTATATGATGACAGTGAAGAACATTAGTCAATAAGTAACAAATCATTCATATTGTCATGATACTGTATTGCACTGTACAAGTTGTCTTCTTCACCGCTACTTCATTGTACTTCACCATAACAGTAATGTCTAACTATAAGCACACCTAATTTAAAGTAATGAGATGCTAGAGTACAACATTACTCACCCTTTGTTCATTCTAATTTAGCATTACTACATGTAAGTATAAAGACACTACTTTTATGACCTCAAACCAAAGGTATATGGTTCTATCATCAACATGACTACATGACGACAACAACATACCCTTTAGGGATTTGGTACGCTGGCTTCAGCAACGGTCCTTTGCAGGTCCTTCCAGGTCAAACCAGCACTGACCTTCAACTCAGGCGTTCTCCTATGCCCTTCGCAGGTAACAACGAACCTTCCCTTCGCAGCACTTTGCGTTCTACTAAGGCGTTCTAATGAGTGTCGTTCGTTAGGGTCAGGTAACGGGTCGATTAGGTCTTCAGGAGTGTTTGGTTATTATTTGGGGATGGGAATATCCACGTAAGCATCACTGTGTCGGGTAAGGGGAGGGACACGCTGGAGGACATGTCAGCCATTAACAGGCAAACCGGGTGGCCACCGGCTAAAAAAGCTGATTGGGTGTTTTTGCTGAGTACGAGGGTTCAATTGGGTGATTCGGAAGTACGAGGGCTTAATTGAGGATTTCGCCATAGTACGGGGGCTTATTTGAGAGTTTTCTCAAATATAAATATTAGATTTTGGAGATAATAGTAACCTGAGTAGGCAGGTTGAGATGAGGTCTCCGAGCAGGGCAATAAAATTTTCAGATGATAGAAGAGAGTCGTGACCCCTGAAGAAGTCAAAATCCGTGTGAAATGGCATAAAGAATACCAGGTTTCTGATTAAGAGCTCCGGATGGAGTATAAAAATCCGTGGGAAGCCGCCCAAACGTACGTACGTGCGAGGTTTCTCATAAGAAGACTTTCGAAATACCAGATGCGGTAGAATAGTAGGGTGAGAGCAGAGTTTGTGTGTGACGTAAATACCCTTACACAATGAGCGGGAAATCTCATTAGAGACTTAACTGAGTTAATTACTATATAGATAGATTCTACAACAATTATATGATTAAATCATTTTTTGAGGGGGCGAACACATATACTTCACATATGTAATTATTTTTAAACTAAAAGTTACGGGGAATATACACACATAATTAAAGTATGAAAATTTTGTGAAAATTTTACCAATTATATATATAATAGAAAATTTTGAAACTACGAGGAGGACGGTCGCCCTCGCTCCCCCTCCCCCTAAATCTGTCCATGCTCACAAAGGGTATCTCACATATACCGTCTAGGAAACTGGGTCACTCCCCCTCTCACTCACGCTCACACACAGAGAGAGGCCTCACACTGAGGAAATCAATCACCCTTTAGTCTCACACCAGGGTTTTTTGACAGATTTGTAAAAGAAAAACATTTGAGACATATTGGTAAAAAAGAAGAAGCTCCAATGACAAATTGATCAATTTTTTGTAAGCTCAAATGATAAACTTTTGATTCTCAACTTTAGAATTCTTGACATTTCATATTCTAAGTATTGTGAAATTGACATTTTTCGTAATTTTACTTTGATTTTGACATGTCACCACTAATCCTCATTGGTAGGATTATTATGAGATTAAATTGATGACATGACAGCTTTTTAGAGATTTATCATTGAGTGACATAGATTATTTAATGAGATTATTTGCTATAATAATCTATGATCAAAATATGAATCCAGATTATTTCCGGATTATTTGAAAAGTATGTGTAATAGAGATTAATGCAGGATAGAGAAAAGGGAGATTATTTGAGGATGATGATTGAGAGATGTAAACCAATTTTGAGATTATTTTAAAATTAATTACATAACCGAATTTAAATGGTAAGCATCATAGAAAAAATTGATTATTAGTGAATAGTGATCATGAATGAAGATGCTCTTAGGGATGGAGGTAGTATATACGTAGTACTTTTAAATACATAACTTTAATGGTCATTGTATGTCTTAACATTTAATCGCAAACAGTTAAGTTACTACGTAGTAACATTTTATTTCAAACACTAATGAAAGTGTTTATTTATAAAAGCTAACGGAATCTGCTTTTATCAATATGATAATTCAACCGGCTATTATCTCGCAGACAAATGATATTATCAAACACGATCGTTGACATTTTTAAACTTCTACTTTTGATGACAAAATCAAAGTAAAAGGACTGAAAATGTAAATTTCACAATACATAGAATATGAAATGTCGGGAATTCAAAAGTCGATGATCAAAAGTTTCACCCACAAAAAATTGATCAATTTATCATTAATGCTCCTTTTTTACCAATATGTATCAAGTGTTTTTTTACCTATCTATCAAATGACCCACTTTTTTTATAGAAAAATTACTCTAAATAGGAGTAAAAAAGTTTTGACATTCTGAAAGAGGACTATCATGATTTTTATCCCTTGAATAAGAGTAATCTGTCAAGTTTGGAAAACAATGTCATATTTAAAGCTTAGTAATTCCAAACTTGGCAAAAATTTACTCTTATTTAGGAAATAAAAAATAATGATCATATTTTAAAATTTCAAAACATTTTTAGGATGTTTTCTTTTGGACTGTTCTCAGTCCCAGACCAGACCAGATTAGACCAGACCAGACTTAAACAGACCAGACCAGACTTAAACAAACCAGACCAGACCAGACTTGAATAGTTATAAAATACACAGAGACCAGACGTTTACCAGACCAGATCAGACCAGTTCAGACCAGACCAGACCAGACCAGACCAGACTTAAACAAACCTAGGGATGTTAAAAAAAACCGACCCGCAATGACCCGCCCTGGCCCAAGACATTTGGGGCGGGTCCGCCCCGCCCCGTCTTGCAAATGGGGCGGGTCCGCCCCGCCCCGCCCCGCCCCGCCTATACAATGGGGCGGGTCCGGGTATTAGAATTGACCCGTGCTGCCCCGACCTGCCCTGCCCTGACCCGTTCAATATATAAGTATACATACTTTTTCTTAAATTATACTGCAAATATACTTCAACATACATATGTGTATATACAATAAATCATAAATTCTTTGATCTTATAATATATGAATATATATTAGAATGAAATGAACGGTGTATTATCAATTTCTTCTTTATATATAGAATTTTAATACATATATTCAATTATTAATATAACTAATTAGATTAACTATTCAAGTCTGAGTAATTTTTCCTTAATTTTTGAAAAATTTAACGTATCATGAATTTGATTTAATATACTGATTTTTAATTATTATTTAGAGATAAACTTTATGTAGATTCAATTGGTAACAACTTCCCACAAATAAAAATACATACTAGCTAATTAGGTTGTGGCGGGCGGGCGGACCCGCCCCGCCCCGCATGGGGCGAGTCATGGGTCAACAAGTTTGGACCCGTGTAGGTCACGGGGCGGGTCTGGGTCTTGCAATACCCGCACCGCCCCGACCCATTGTCATGCCTAAACAGACCAAACCAGACCAGCAAATTTGAGTCCAAAAGAAATCATTATTTAGAGAATTATCTATTTTTTTTACCAAATTGGTAATTATGCCCACACAGTCAGACATAAGAGGCAATGCTCTCAATTATTCAAGTTAGGGGTGATTTGACGAGAAAAAAGCTAGGTAGCAGCGCGGACAGCGGGCTAGTGGCCAAACCAGGTCAAAGAAAAAAGCAGCTGAACAAAAAAATAGCCAGTGAGGAAGTCACTGGTAAAAGAAAATCCGGGTCGTCAAACATAGACTGGGGGCGTAGTTATAGCTCAACTAGTATGAACTATGAAGAGGTTCATGGTTCTAATTTCGAACAATGATTTGGAACGAGATCCTATTCCTTTTACATCAGAGTGATCAAAGCATAATTTAGGCCTTAAAAAACATATAACTCAACTTTTACTTTAGAAAAGCACTTCTTTTATCAAACACGACCATTTTTTACTTTTTCCGGCTTTCGTGTAGAATGACTAGAATCTTTTTTTTTTTTACTTTTTCTATTACACAAAAAACACTTATTTTACCAAATACTATTAACTTTTACTACTAATCAAAGTTTTTTTTTAAACTTTGACTTTCCAC